TTTATTTATTTATTTATTAGAGAGCGAGCGAGAGAGAAACAGCATTAGAGAGGAGAAGGTCAGAGGGAGAAGCAGGCTCCCCACTGAGCTGGGAGCCCAATGTGGGACTCGATCCCAGGACCCTGGGATCATGACCTGAGCTGAAGGCAGTTGCTTAACCAACTGAGCCACCCAGGCGCCCAAAACCCATGAATTCTATGTGCAGTATTCCCCTAGCGCTGGAGTTCTGCCGTTCTCATTGATTGGTATACTTGGTTTTGGCTGGCTGTTCTTGCTGATCTTCTGGGGGAGGGGCCTGTTGCCGTGGTTCCTAAATGTCTTTGCCGGGGGCGGAATTGCCCCGCCCTTGCCTGGTCCAGGCTAAGTAATCTGGTTGGGTTTGCTCTCGGGAGCTTTTGTTCCTGCAAGCTTTCTGTACAGCTTTGGAGGATGAGAATGAAAATGGCAGCCCCCGTCTCTGCTCCGGAGGAACCAAGAACTCGGGGCCCCACTCCTCAGTGAGCCCCCAGAGAAAAGCAATCACTCCTGTCTCCCCGGTCTCCGGCCGTACTCCGAGCTCACCAGGCCTGTGACTGAGCGTTTCTATCTCTGGCACCCGACTCGGTGTGGAGTCTCCAAACCCAGCAGATCCCTGCGGTGTGCTCCCACTCCGCTCCTCCCAGCGGAGGAAGGTGAGTCTCCCCGGATCTGCCACTTGTTGGGTCCCTGCTGGAAGAGCAGTGGCCTGACTGTTCCGCGGATCACAGTTTATGGCCACCCCGAGCTGAGAGCCCACTCCTCGCCTCCGTCTCTGCAGCCGGCTTCCCTGCTCCGACACCCGGGAGCTCCTCCACACTTAGGCACCCCGGTCTTTCTGTGACCCCTAGGGTCCTGAGACCACACTGTCCCGTGAGGATTCCACCCCTGCTTAGCCACTGAAGCGACGCCCCTCAGCGAAGCAGACTTCTAAAAGTTCCGATTTTGTGCTCTGCTGCTCTATCACTTGCCGGTAGTAGCTGATGGAGGCTCCCGCCCCACGCCGTCTATCTTCCCGAATACCACCTCGGATTCACTTCTCCACACATCCTACCTTCCAGAAAGTGGTCACTTTTCTCTTCAGAGAGTTGCTGCTATTCTTTTCTTCGATCTCCTGTTGAGTTCGTAGGTATTCAGAATGGTTTGATGCCTATCTAGCTGATTTCCTGGGACCAGACGAAATTTAGGTCTCCTACTCCTATGCCATCTTGCTCCTCCCCCCGAATCTTTACATTTTTAATCTGGATGTCTGGAGATGGCATTAGCTGCTACTTGGGAGTGATTTAAGCCCACACAGGGCTTGATCTCATGACCCCAAGATCATAACCTGAGCCAAAACTAAAAGTCTGACATTTAACCAACTGCGCCACCCAGGCACCCCAGTGAGAGCCAAATTTTTAAGGAGTAAATAGTTGAATAGTTTAGGATTTCTTTCTTTAGCCCTAGAATGGAAATCTGATAAAAACGATAGTGACTTCTGAGTACTTGAAACGTAACAATAAAACCTAAAATATAATTTAAATGAGATTGTGCAAAACCTCCAGGATGTAGAAGACCAGATATCCTTCCGTCTTGGGCCTCACTCTGTAGGGAGTTGGGAAGGGGTGTCTGTGCAGTTTGGAACAGTAGCATTTGAGGTCAGTGTTGCTTTTCCACCTTTTCAGTCCAGCACAAGAATGCAGGATGCTTTTCCAGCCTTGGAATATCTGTAAACCAGTCTGTGAGGAATGAATAAAAGCATAAGAAAGGAAGGAGTAGGGAAGCTAATCAAAGGTTTTTTGAGTTTTTCACAAACACATTTCTCTTTCTTTTCCCTAGTGGTGATTCAGTTCTGGGATCATCATGTGACTCTGTTCTGTCATTGCCAGTTCTGCAGAAAACTTCCACCTTCAAGCACAAGGTACAAAATTACTGCATATTAATTTAGGCTCTCACTTAGGTATGATTTTTAACCTCTCATTTCAGGATGAAAGGCTAGCCTTTTGTTTACTAAAATGACATACACTTTCAGATGGCATCTCTGTATAATTTTGCCTTTCACTTCCTGAGTGAAATTTCCTCTACTAACTAGTTGGAGTAAGAGAACCAAATAAAATATTGTGTTGGCATATTCGGTTTCTGTCAGGCATCATCTCTTACTGAATAATGAAAGATGATGCCTGAGGCATGCTTTCATTTTCATGGTGGTTTGGGGCTTTCGTGGCCATATATTTTTCTGACCAATTTATGTCCTGATTTTATTTATTTTTAATTTATTTTTTTAAAAAGATTTTATTTATATATTTGAGACAGGGACAGAGAGAAAGAGAGCGTGAGCGGGGTGGGGAGTGGCAGAGGGAGAGGGAGAAGCAGACTCCACGCTGAGCAGGGAACCTGATGCTGATGCCAGGCTCGATCCCAGGACTCTGGGACTATGACCTGAGCCAAAGGCAGATGCTTAACCATCTGAGCCACCCAGGTGCCCCTATGTCCTGATTTTAGTTCATACTTTCATTTACTTTGGTTAAAATCAGATTATTATAAAATTTCCCCTATCCCAACTGGGAAATTCAAGAACGGTGTCCCACAAATGCTGGGATAGGTGGTAATGAGCAGAGAGAAAATAGACTTTTTAATTACTTGATTTTATCACATTTCCCCATAATTAAGACATATTTCAAGCACATAGAACATTTCAAAAAATGTTATAGAAAATGCAACCCTTTTGTTTTACTTGCTTTAAATAAAAAAAAAATAACATAAAACTATATAGATAAAGTTGAGACTACCCTGGGTACATTTCCCCAGTCTAACTTTCCCTCCCTCTCCTGAGATAAGCCCAAGTTAGTATGGATCATCTCAAATTTTTATACAATAACTAAAACAGCATGTATCTATAAGCAATACATAGCACTGTTCTGCATATTTGCTAGATTTAAATAAATACTATTATATTATACATATCATTCAGTAACTTACTTTTTTCATTTAATTCTGGTTTTGAAATCAGTCCATGATGATACATGTGATTCTAGTTCATTCCTTTTAACGTTGTATAGTGCTTCATTGAATAAATATATCACAATTTATCATTTCCTTCTGGTAGACATTTAGGTTAAACAAAGTTGTAATAAACCTTTCATGTACATACTTTTTTGTTTCCATGGGAAAAAGTATCTCTAGGTATAGCTGAATATTTTCATCTTAACTTTATAAGGTATTGCTAAATTGTTCTGTAAAGTGGATATGCCAATTTATCTTCCCATCACTGGATAGAAGTTTTGTATTTCTCCACTTCCACACCAAATATTAGGCTTTTGAAATTTTTTACTGAATTGATGATTGTGAAATGATATCTCATTGAGGTTTTTAGCTTGTGTTTTCTCGATTACTAGTGAGGATATAACCTGTTTTATTTCTGTTCGTCATTTCGGTTCCCTCCTTTGTGAATTTTTATTCATTTCTCTGCTGTTTTCTATTGAATAATTTGTATTTTTCTCTACATGTGTTCTGGACATGCATGAATTACAAATATCTTCTTGCAGATTGTAGCTTTTTTAAAAAAAATTTGTTTATGATGTTCTGTTAACAGAAGTTTCTATTTTAATGTAATCAGATGTATCAGTCTTTTCATTTGTGGTTGGCACTTTTTGTATTTTGCTTAAGAAGAATTTCCATACAATATCATATTTGCCCATTTTTATTTTTTAAAATTTAAAATTAATAAACTTTATTTTTTAGATCAGTTTTAAGGTTCAGAGCAAAATTGAGTGGGAAGTACCAGAATTCTCCAGATATACCCCTTGTCCTCACCCATGTACAACCTCCCCAACTATTGACATCCTACAGTAGAGTGATGCATTTATTCCAATCAATTAACCTATATTAACACATTGTTATCACCCAAAGTCCTTACTTTACATTAGGGTTCACTCTTTTTCTTTTCATTAGTTTTCACTTGGTGTTGTACATTTTATGGATGACAAATACATAATAACATGTATTCATCAATGTACTATTATACAGAATGGTTTCACTGCCTTAAAAATCCTCTGTGCTCTGCCTATTCACCCCTCCCTCCACTTTAATCCTGGCAAACAGTGATCTTTTTACTGTCTCAATAGTTTTATCTTTTCCAGAAGGTTACATAGTTAGAATCATTCAGTATGTAGCTTTTTCAGATTGGTTTCTTTCACTTAGTTATATGCATTTAAGTTTTTTCTGTGTCTTTTCATGACTGGATAGATCATTTCTTTTTAGCACTGATTAATATTCCATTGCCTGGATGTACCACAGTTTATCCATTCACTTACTGAAGGACACCTTAGTTGCTTCCAAGTTTTAGCAATGATGAATAAATATGGATAGAGTTATTTTCATGTGAATACAAGTTTTCAATTCACTTAGGTAAATACTATGGAGTGTGATTGCAGGATTATATAGTAAGAGGATGTTTACTTTTATCAGAAACCACCAAAATGTCTTCCAAAGTGGCTGTACCATTTTGCATTCCCACCAGCAGTGAATGTTGCTCCATGTCCTCACAACCAGTTGGTATTGTCAGTGTTTGTATTTGACCATTCTAATAGGTGTGTAATGGTATGTTATTGTTGTTTCAATTTGTAATTGCCTAGTGACATATGACATTGAATATCTTTTCATATGGTTACTTTCCCTCTGCATATCTTTGATGAGGTGCCTTTTCAGGTCTTTTGACCATTTTTTAACTGGGTTGTTTTCTTATTGTTGAGTTTTAAGTGTTCTTTGTATATTTTGAGTAGCACTCTTTTAGTAAATGTGTCTTTTGCAAATATTTTATAAAATCCCCCCAAAATAATTATAAAATCGCTATTAGAGAGAGAACAATGACTATAGCAAGAGAATGTAAACAATCCAGAATGCTCATGTTGGAGAGAGTTCAGGTAAATCAGTGTTTCCCAAAATGCAGAACATATACCACAAGTATGATCATTGTAGCCTTCAGATGACTCCAGCCAGTGTCATTGTCTGAACTTAGCCACATGGAAGACTCTGAGTGAGAACCACCCAGTCTAGTCCAATCAACCCCTACAATCATGACACATAATAATAATAGTATTATTGTATCAATGTTCATTTTTAGGCTCATTGATTTTATTATGGTTATATAAGAAATTAACATTAGGAGAAGTTTGGTGAATGGTATATAAAAGCTCTCTGTGCTATTTTTGCAACTTTAGCAAGCGTAAGGTGATTTCATATTAATACCCCTAAAAATGAGACACAATAATAAATGTTGTTTTATGTCAAGATTGGAGTGGTTTATTTCACAGCAAGAGACAACCACAACACAAAGTAAAGTATTGTCACCTGAAGCTCATGGGCATGGAGATGGAGATGGACTTATTTTAAATTTATTTTTAATTTGAAATCATCTTACGCTTACTAAAAGTTGCAAAAAGAGAGAGCTTTTATATACTATTAACCCAGCTTCCCCTAATGTTAGCATCTTGCATAATCACAATAAAATTAATGACAGCAAAAAAAATAAACATTTGTATAATAATATCATTAACTAATCTAGAGACTTTGAATTTTCCCAGTTGGACCACTAGTGCCACTTTTCTAGTCCAAGATTTCATCCAGAGTCCCACTTTGCCTTAAGTTGTTATATTTTGTTAGCCTTCTCAAATGTATTATAATTCTTCTTTGTTTATCTTTTATGACCTTGACATTTTGAAGAGCAGGAACCAGTTATTTTGTAGAATGTCACTTGATTTGGGTTTATCTGATGTTTCCTCATGATTAAATTCAAGTTATGCATTTTTTGGCAAGAATATCACAGAAGCAATGTTGAAATCTCTTCAGTATATCGTATCAGGAGGTATAGTATTAAGACATCGCTTAATTCATGAGATCTTATGCAATTTCAATTTTCGTCGCTTGTTTAAGATAGGATCTAACATGTTTCTTCACTGTAAGGCTATTTTTTTCATTTGTAATTAATAAGTGTCTTGTGAAGAGATATTTTGAAATGATGCAAATATCCTGTTTCTTACCGTATTTTTATCTACTAATGTTAGCATCCATCTGTGACTCTTGCCTGCAATAACTATTACTGTGGTGTTTGCCTAAGGGTGTTTTTCTATTTCCTTCATTCCGTCTACATCTATCAATTAGAATTTGACTGTAATAAAAGCCATCACTTCTCATTTATATGTTTATTCAATTATTTGTTTATATCACTATGAACTGTAGATTATAACCCGATATATCAGTTATATCATTGTTGAAATTGACCCAGATTTGGCCACCAAAATTCTTCAAGTTGTTCTTTAATGGATTCTCATCATTTTCTTTTTTTTTTTTTTAAAGATTTTATTTATTTATTTGACAGAGAGAGACACAGCGAGAGAGGGAACACAAGCAGGGGGAATGGGAGAGGGAGAAGCAGGCTTCCCGCGGAGCAGGGAGCCCGATGCGGGGCTCGATCCCAGGACTCTGGGATCATGACCTGAGCCGAAGGCAGACGCTTAATGACTGAGCCACCCAGGCGCCCCAAGATTCTCATCATTTTCTAGCATTTCCTTTCCTTTTGGTATCACAAGATATTCCAGAATTGTCTCATATTTTTCCTACATTGGCCCTGGAATCCACTCTTCGTCCAAGAGTTCTGGGTATTTTTCACTGGACAAAAGTATTTAGAAACTAAGATTTGGGAGCTAGATATTCTCATTACTACTGGACTAGTATTGCTACTTAGGTTTTCTCAGTGGATATACCTGGGCAATATATGTATGTAAACTAACCTATGCATATAGACATACCTGTACTTATTCCTATGTCTATTCGTTTTTTATATTAAAAACTGATAAGATACCTTTGATTTTAATCTACCACCATAGATTTCACTCTAGCCTTCTTTCATTACTTGTAACTCAT